CCGTCTCCCTCAAGCTGTAGACACACATCATTTTATCCCTCCACAAAGATTTAACATTATATATGAAGCCATACTTGTCCATATACTGAACCATTTGTTATCTCGGTGAGCAATTGTTGCATCATCTATAACATTAAGGAATTCAATGGTAAATTTGTCTTTTGGGTCAATTATGAGGTCATCTGGTGCTTAACTCGAAAAAATATTTGCACTTCTTCCTCACACGCTCCTCTGGGAATTTAACTCAATAGGATCATCAGATGTTGTGGACATGTTTTCAACAGTTTCTACTGGTGTACTTTATAAAATCAATGATTTTTATACTCAGCCAACGTTCCTAAAATTGTTCTACATACTCAACAGTGAATAGGTGAACTATTTAGACAATATAATTCTCTCCTCGCTCATTCCTGATGTGTGAAGACCGTCAGACTGAACACTGTTTGGAGTTGGACAAGGCTTAGGGTAACCTGCAGCAGCCAAAGGGTTAACACGCACCCGAGAAATCATCCATTATTTCAGGTATAACTGCAGTAAAAATGTCTCGTATAATTTTTCAATATAATTAGGATCAATGAAAAACAAAAACTTATTTCACCATACAATTAAACACCCTAGCCTAACCTAACTTAACCTAACATAACATAACCTAACCCAACCCTCCAGGCAGCATCAAGGTGTATTCATTCATCAGTTGAAATAAACTGGGGCTAATCTTCACGTGATGTACATTATGTAATAGCGCGAATGGTCAAAGAACTACATAACCAAATACATAATTATGAACTATGAATGTTGTTGTAGCTGAACCTGTAACTGTACCTTTACCTGTACCTTACCTTTATAATGAAATATATGTTTGTTACTAATACTGTAATCTTCCTCCTTACAGCCCCGGAGATACAGACGACGTCTAACTGCAGCGTGCTGAGTGACATGTTCTCGCTGGGTATGTGTGTGTGCGCCATCTTTAACTCTGGCAAATCTCTTATTGAAGCCAACCACTCCAGCTCTGGGTACCTGAAACAGCTTGATGTGGTGAGTATCTTGATAGTGGTGGTGGTTGTGGTAGTGATGGTGGTAGTAGTAGTAGTAGTAGCCGCATAGACCTGCTGCTCAACAAACTCAGCACAGCTAGGGTAGATACTTTAGTATTAGGATATTTAATTTTCTGGTAATAAAATGGCGGCGAAGGTGTGGCTATTGGAGGAGGCTGGAGGCCATCTATAAAAAAGTAGTAGTAAGTTGATATTGATGGCAGTAGTAGTAATGGGAGTGGTGATGGTAATGGTGGTTGTGGTGATGGTAGTATAGGTGATAGTAGTAAGGGGATGGTAGTAATCGTATTAGTGGTAGTGGTGGTATTGATGTTGGGTGGTAGTGGGGGTAGTAGTATGTACAGTATGTAGCTCGTTAGGTAGCGGGCAGAGTTAGGAAGGCATTGGGTTGGGTTTTTCATTGACCAAATCGAGAGTGGGAAGAAGGGTGAAACATCAATCATGACTTAACTAATTTATTCCTTATAAAACATATTGCATCCCGTCAAAATACAAGAAGAGTTGGCCTTCCTCGGAAGAACAACTATTATGTTCATTACACTTCACATCAATACACGTCTTACATCAAATAATTACCATTATCATCTTCATTCTTCATAACAACCAATGACCTCCTTACCTCGGTCATTCCTTATTTCCATTACACCTCACACATCAGACTGCACCACATGTTAGAGTATAGCATCACATGTTACATTACAGCAACACATCCCGGGTACACTCCACACCAACAAGTATGGAACTCCTCGGTATTCTTAAGTACATATACCAGGTACCTCGTTCACACGCTACTCTTGCTGAGTAGATGGGATACTTCCCAAGCAATCATACCAGTACTGTTTCCACGTCTGGTATTCTTAGGTCGCCCCACATTGCGACCGCGAAACTTCTCACACACACAATTATTTTATCCTATCCTGGGTGGTGATATGTAGGGTATCCACAGATTCACAGTGGAGGTGCATAATGTTCATAAGCAGACACACCACACCCGGTGAGTCCTTCACCGTAGTGTTAGCTTGGCCGACGCTCTGGACGCGTGCGTACCTGTTTGGGTGGAAGAGCGAGGCACGACTGAATATAATGCCTGAAGGGCTTTTATCACCACACACTAGTACAACTATTACTTCACTTTAAAACATCAGGCAAGGTTTTAAGACGTAAAATACTGCTAAATAAGTCTTTTTGGGGCTGAATGGAGCACGAAGGGGTTCACTGACCTGTTTGGGTGCAGAACACTATGCCGGGTAACAGACATTGCTGTGTTTGTGCTAGCCAGATGGAGATGTTCTGGGTACTTGGTTCTAACTACAGGAGCGAACATAAACACCTGTAGAGTTTTGTAGGTTCTTATTAGCGGAAATATACAGGAGTGCGCTCACAAGCGCAGGTAGTCCTTACACTCCTATAGGGGTCAACTGACCTCTCTCTGACCTCTCAGGCGACATGTGGTAAGTGGTACATTAGCAGCTTCCAGATGTCGCCAGGCACATTTATCTAAGCGTGTGGTGACATGAAACAGGGGCATTGCCACACGCTATTGACTAGAGAAGTAATGTATATATATATAGAGTACATACATGGTATACATACAACATACATAATATACATACACCAGAACCAAAATTGCACGAGCTGTGATTGTGCGAGAAACAACCGATCAAGTGTGGTTTGCAGAAAGGGAAACAATTGTCGGAACCCACATGTCAGGGAGCCGACACAGGAGGCCACAGTAGATATCGCCGGGGCCCAACAGCCCGTTGATATCCTAAATGATAGCAGTGAGTCTACTCAACCTGAAACTGTAGTACTAATAAACGCTGCTCCAATAGTAGCAGATGTCCACGAGGTGAATGAGAGACAGCCACTACAGTGGAATGGCATGTCGATGGAAAATGCGGACATAAGGGGTTAAAGAAACTTACTCAGAAATTGTCAGGTGGTCGCCAGCTAACCTGTTTCAACCACCCAAGTGTGCGGCCACCAAAGAAATGATTCGGGAGATGATTCGCCTCATAACCGAGTACACTCAGGACTGCTTCCTTGCCCCTTTAGCTCTTCAAATACTGGCAATAATACCACATCTATTCTGTCAGAAGACACACACAAAGAAAATGCAGCAGCAATGAAGAGAAGATTGACAATGTGGCAGAATGGGGCCCTTGATGATCTCCTATGTGAAGCAAGAACACTGCAGGAGAGACTAAAATTTATAGGAGACGGAAAGCAAAACACCGATGACGTTGCAAGAAAGTTTGGAAACAAAATGCGTGTGGGAAAAGTGTCTTTGGCGGTAATATCTCTCGCAGAGGAATCCTCCGGTGGGGTTCTGCCAATAAACAGAGAGACATTAAATCAACTGAAAGAAAAACTTCCCCCTGCAAGTGAAGACGAAGGCATCAGGTTCCAGGGTGATTTATCCCACCAAATACTGTCCTGTTCGAGAAAATAGCAGGAGGGATGGTGTGGAAAAAGGCACTGAAAACTCAGGGAGGTGCAGGCCCTTCAGGTCTGGATGCAAACGGTTAGAGAGTCATCCTCAGCATCAACAAGTTTGGCCCCGTAGCAAGTGATCTCTGCACTGCCATTGCCGTCCTTGCAAGAAAGCTGCCAACACCTCCATGCTCTGACGGCCTGTCGCCTCATTCACCTGGATAAAAATCCAGGATGTAGGCCTATAGGGGTGGGAGAAGTGCTGAGGCGGATCATCGGAAAATGCATAATAGAGGTGGTAAAGAATGATGTCAGGGCAGCAGTAGGGAACCTGCAAGTTTGAGCTGACCACCAGGCTGGAGGAGAAGCTGCCATTTACGCCATGAGAACGATATTTGAGCAGCGTGATTGTGAGACCGTTCTCCTGGTGGACGCTTCAAACGCATTCAACATACTTAACTGCAAGGCCGCACTGCACAACATCAAGATCAAGTGTCTAGGCTTTGCAATACATGTTGAAAACTCCAATAGGAATCCATCAGACCTCTATATATTAAACAACAAGGCTCTAAGGGGTGATACCATCATACAGTCAACCGAGGGAACAACGCAGGGGGACCCTGTTGCAATGGCAATGTACGCTGACGACCTTACAGGAGGAGGAAAAGTGAAGGACATAAAAAAGTGGTGGGACCTGGTAACATCACGAGGTCCACAAATAGGTACCACCCAAACGCCAGCAAGTCCTTCCTCATTGTGAAGCCAGAACATTGTGAACGGGCAATGGAGGTGTTCGGTGGAACTGAAGTCAAAATAACAAAGGATGGCCAAAGACACCTAGGTGCAGTAATCGGCACGACGGCCTTCAAGACCGAGTACGTAATGGGAAAGGTGAATGAGTGGGTTAGGGGAATCCAAGCGGCTTTTGCGGCATTCACCCATGGAGCCAAGCATCGCTGGAACTACCTGATGCGCACTATCCCTGGTATCGGACCCCTCCTCCACCCTCTAGAAGAAGCTATCAGCATCAATTTCATTCCCAAATTAGTGAAAAACCCTCACTTAACCCCAGCAGAAAGATTACTCCTTGCACTACCACCGAGACTGGGAGGAATGGGATTGACCAATGCAGAGGAGATTGCTGCCACCGAACATCAAAACTCAGTTAAGCTCACGGCAGTCCTCAATGACCACATAATAGCTCAGAACGCAACAGGGGAGGTGGATACCAGTGAAGTAAACATGATTCGTAGGTCCATTACGACAGAACGACAGCACAGCCATAGTGATAAGTTGCAGCAATTGATGCTGCAAGTACCAGAGAATTTGAAAAAAAAGTAGCTATAGAGCAGGGGGTGGGCGCCTCGAACTGGTTAACTACATTACCGATAAGGGCAAATGGTTTCAGTCTCATTAAACAAGAATTTACAGATGCCAATGCTCTAAGGTACGGTAGGCTAGTAGAAGGTGTGCCCTCCCATTGCGTGTGTGGCTCTTCCTATGACGTCGATCACGCCATGGTGTGCAAGAATGGGGGCTTCGTATGCATGAGGCATGACGAAGTAAGGGATCTCAGCAAATATGTTGAAGGAAATCTGCCGTGATGGCAGAGTAGAACCGACCATCCTTCCACTGGACGGTGAGAATTTCCAATATAGGACTTCAAACCCATCCAACGAAGCCTGTGTTGACATCAGTGCTCGAAGATTCTGGACACAGGGACAGCGAGCCTTCTTCGACATCAGGATTTTTTATCCCATGGCTGCATGTCACCGTAACTTAGCTCTCGATGCTGCACACAGGAGCAGCGAGAACGACATGATTTGGGCATACGAGGAGAGAATTCAGAACATTGATCAAAGCAGCTTCACTTCTCTGGTGTTCACAACCTCTGGTGGGATGGGACCAAGTGCAAGATGCTTCTACGCCAGACTCGCGGAGTTGATCTCCGAACAGAAGCAGCAACCCAGAAGTTATGTTACAGCCTGGATGAGATGTCGACTGTCCTTCTTAGGTCTGCTTTGCTCTGCCTCAGGGGAACGAGAGCATCGGCCCCTAAGCCGACAACAGTTGCAGATATTGACTATGAGGCAACAGTCACTGAATGCCTCATAGATCTGCGGTTCAACTAACTCAACACAGCTAGGATAGCTACTTATGTATTAGGATATTTAATTTTAAGGTAATAAAATGGCGGCGAAGGTGTGGCTATTAGGGGAGGATGGAGGCCATTTAAAAAAATGTGGCAGTAGTAATAATTGCAGATAGTAGTAGTAGTAGTAGTAGTAGCAGAAGTAGGACTAATTGTGGTAGTATTAATTATCATTTAAGTGGGGAGAATTATAGTAAGAGGGGTAGTGATTGTGGTGATAGTTGTTAGTTGTGGTGGTGAGTGGTAAGGCGGTTGTTAATTGGGTCTGGATGAGACTAAAGTGTCTTGGTGGTGGCGGCGGCGGTGGTGGTGGTTAAATGGTGATGTGATAATAGTTCTCTCTCTCTCTCTCTCTCTCTCTCTCTCTCTGATGGTCACGAGAGAGGGAAATGATC